GCGGGTGCATACGGGGCATCGATGTTTCTCTCTTCCTTCCTCTCTAAAATCAACTTAAAAAACAAAACAAAACATATCCTTGGGTAAGGATTTTTTTTTAAAAGCCTCAGGTCTGTTGAGTCCAGGAACAGAGTTTTGTTCAACTAAAAACAACATCTTGACTTCAGCTGGGTTCCCGCCCCATGAAACCAGAATGACCTACAGACCAGCCCTTAGGAAACCAAGCAGATCGATGCCATGGCTGACATCAGGCCCGAATCAACAATCCACTGGTCCTGACTCTGGCCCCAACCAAGCATTGGAGCCTGTGACCCAAATCTCTAGCCACCACGAGTAGTGAGTTCTCGCTGTAAACCCGTTTCCTGGAGGCCACTGAGAGACAGGTGTTTGAGCACCAGCTTACCTGCGACTCTGGGCTTGGCACAATTTCCTCAACTAACAAACCTTTTTTCTTGGCTGCAAGCTCCTATTCAGTTTTTATTTATTTATTTATTTACTTAATTGATTTTTTACCGAGAGGAAGGGAGAGGGATAGAGAGTTAGAAACATCGATGAGAGTCATCGATCAGCTGCCTCTTGCACACCCCCCATGAAGGATATGCCCGCAACCAAGGTACATGCCCTTGACCAGAATCGAACCCGTGACCCTTCAGTCCCCAAGCCGACGCTCTATCCGTTGAGCCAAACCGGTTTCGGCTTAATTGATTTTTTTTACAGAGAGGAAGGGAGAGGGATAGAGAGTTAGAAACATCAATGAGAGAATCATCGATCAGCTGCCTCCTGCACACCCACTACTGGGGATGTGCCCGCAACCAAGGCACATGCCCTTGACTGGAATCAAACCCGGGACTTTTCAGTCCGCAGACCGACGATGCTCTGTCCACTGAGCCAAACTGGTTTCGGCTCCTGTTCACTTTTGATTGGCTTTGATGCACACAGTCAAATGGATCCCTTTGGATGGAAAAACCCCTCGTGTCTCTGCTTTGTTCTCACGCCCCTTCTGTGGAGAATACTCCTGGGATTTTACTTAGCGACCTGGAGATCGTACAGAGGAGTGCACAGCTACTGGATCTAGTGGAACCAACATGCCTAAAGGAGGAAGGGTTCCAGGTCGGAGATTTGACCCACTTTCTGCCTGAGCTTCTCATTCTAATTATGAAGCATTATTCGGTATTAAGAGCACATGAATTTGAGGGCAACATTCGTTTGTTATTAAAATTATTGTGCTGCCCTGGCTGGTATGGCTCAGTAGGTTGAGCTTCATCCCATATATACTGAAAGGTCACTAGTTCAATTTCTGCTCTGGGCACATGCCCAGGTTTGGGGTTTGATCCTCTATTGGGGTGCATGTGGGAGGCAGGTGATCCATTTCTTCTCTCTCTCTCTCTCTCTCTCTTTCTCTCTCTCTCTCTCTCTTGCTCTCGCTCTCGCTCTCTCTTGCTCTCTCTCCCTTCCTCCCTCCCTTTCTCTCTTCCTCTCCCTTTCTCTCAAAAATCAATAAAAACCTATTAAAATGTTTTAATAGAGATAAATTATTCTCCCAAAGGCTATAAAAAGTACAGCCTAAAGAAAACAAACAACCCAATTAAAAAGTGGGCAAAAGTGCTGGACAGACACCTCACCAAGGGACATATACAGATGTTAAATAAGCATATAAAAAGATGCTCCACATCATATGACCTCAGGAAATGGAAATTAAAACAGCAACGAAGCCCTAGCTAGGTTGGCTCAGTGGATAGAGCGTTGGCCTGTAGACTGAAGGGTCCTGGGTTCGAATCTGGTCAAGGGCACATGCCTGGGTTTCGGGCTCGATCCCTGGTCGGGGCTGGGGGGTGGGGGTGGGCGTGTGGGAGGCAGCTGATTGATGATTCTCTCTCATTGATATTTCTATCTCTCCCTTTCCTTTCCTTTCTGAAATCAATAAAAATGTATTTTAGTAACAACAATGAGATACCACTGCACGCTTATTAAAATGGCTGAAATAGCCAAAACCGGTTTGGCTCAGTGGATAGAGCGTCGGCTTGCAGACTGAAAGGTCCCGGGTTCGATTCTGGTCAAGGCCATGTACCTTGGTTGCAGGCACATCCCCAGGAGGGGGTGTGCAAGAGGCAGCTGATCGGTGATTCTCTCTCATCGATGTTTCTAACTCTCTATCCTTCTCTCTTCCTCTCTGTAAAAAATCAATAATATATATATATTTTTTAAAATGGCTGAAATATTGAACACTGAATCACCAAATACTGGTGAGGGGGCAGAGCAACAGGAACTCGCATTCATTGTCTGTGGAACTGCAAAATAGAACAGTCACTGTGGAAAACTGGCATTTTCTTACTAAGGTGAACCATAGCCTTACCATATAATCCAGCAATTATGCTCTTAGGTGATTCACAGAAAAACCTGCATGCAAATGTTAAAATGTTCAATTTATAATGCCGAAAACTGGAGGCACAGCTCGCTGCCCTCGGCCAGGTGAATGGTTTAGCTAACAGTGGTGCACCCACGTAGTGCAGGGCTGGGGGACGTCCGGCCAGAGGGCCGGACAAGGCCTGGACAAGGCCCGAGAAATCAGTTGTTCTGGCCCTGCCCAGGCCTGAGGGTGAGTTAATTAAATGTTTGACCTAATAGAGCAGGCTAACTTTTAAGTTGATAATTTTGAGTGGCCCGTGAATGATGTGAAAAATATCCAAATGGCCCCTGGCAGAAAAAAGGTGTCCCCCCTCACCCCCCCCCGCCCCCCCTGAGTGGAATACTATTCAGCGAAAAATAGAAACGAGCTATGAAGCCACAGAAAGACATGGAGAACCTGTAAGTGCATGCAGGTAAGCAAAAGAAACAAGTCTGGAAAGGTACATACTTGATGATTTTGACGATAAGACATTCTGGAAAAGGCATAGGGACAGGGGAAGCCTGGGCTGGGGCAGGGCGAGGAGGGGCAGTGAGTGGGAGGAATGGGGGACTGCTGTTAGGCCAGTGAGACCATTCTGTCTGAGACTGTGGGACGTGGGGGACACGTGAAGTCATGCATTTGGCAAAACCCATGGAGCCGTACAACACAGAGCTGACCCTAATGGAAACTATGGGCTTAGTTAGTCATAACGATGCTATTAATATATCAAAATTGGTTCACCAATGTAACAAATGTACCACGCCATCACAAGATAAGGGAAACAAGCCGGGACCGGTTTGGCTCAATGGATAGAGCGTCGGCTTGGAGACTGAAAGGTCCCGGGTTCGATTCCGGTCAAGGGCATGTACCTTGGTTGCGGGCACATCCCCAGTAGGGGGTGTGCAAGAGGCAGCTGATCGATGACTCTCTCTCATTAGTGTTTCTAACTCTCTATCTCTCTCCCTTCCTCTCTGTACAAAATCAATAAAATATATTAAAAAAGTAAATAAAAAAACAAGATAAGGGAAACTAGTTAGAGAAAAGGTGTTTATTGGAACTCTGTCCTTTCTGTTAGTTGTGTGTGTGTGTGTGTGTGTGTGTGTGTGTGTGTGTGTGTTTTGTAAGCCTAAGCTGTTTTAAGAAATAAAGTTTAGCCCTGGCCGGGCTGGCTCAGCGTTGGCCCTCAGACAGAGGGGTCACAGGTTTGATTCATGGTCAAGGGTCCGTGTCTCAGTTGCAGGTTCCCCGGCCCAGTGGGGGTGAGCCAGGAGGCAGCCAATTGATGTGTCTCTCTCACGCGCATATTCCTCTCTCTCTCTCCCCCACTGGTCTCTCCCTTCAACACGCTCCCTTGAAATCAATGGAAAAAATATCTTCGGGTGAGGATTTAAAAAAAGAAAGTTTATTAATTAAAATAATAATAATAATAATTAATAATAATAATAATTTACAGGCTCAGCAAAAGTATGCATCTCCCTTTAGGCTATCTGTGTTTTCGCTGTTTGGTGACAGGTGCTCAATCTGATGAATCCAGTTTGGTATTTTGTTAGTTTTAATTTGCATTTCCCTGTGTTCTCCTCAGATTGAACATCTTTTCCAGTTAGTTGGGCATTTCACGTTCTCTTATTATAATTGTTATTGATTGACTGATTCTTAGAGAGAGGAAGGAAGAGGGAGAGGTATATGGGTAGATAGGTATCAGGATGATGTTCTAACCAACTGAGTTACTCAACTTTCCTTAGTACAAGTCGTTTGTTCCTGTCCTCGGCCTGTTTATCCAGTTGATAATCTTTTGATTGTGGAATTATGGGAGTTTTAAAAATTTGCTTATTCATTCTCTTTTTTTTGTTTACATGTTGCAAATATTTTCTCAGAAGCTGCTGTTTTTCAACTTGAATATTGATGTCTTTTCTCCATAGAAAGCTGTTTTTTGTTTTGGTTATTCCTCTCCGGGACATTTTTCCCCCTTGGTTTTTAGAGAGTGGAAGGGAGGGAAGTGAGAGGCACACGTCCATTGGCTGCCTTCTGCACGTGCCCTGACAGGAGCAGGGATTGAACCTGCAACCCAGGTAGGTGCCCGTGGCTGGGATTGAACCCGAGACCCTTCAGTGTGCCGGCCGACGCTCTCACCACTGAGCAGCCGGCCAGGGCATGGCCACAGAAAGTTTTACGTTTTGAAGGCGTTTGGCCTGGGAAGGTGCTCTGTGACCCGAGCCCGCCCTCGGACGGACTCCATTGCTCTGGCCAGCCTGTCCTTCTGCCCCCGAGCTCTGCTGCGGGGTGTCCATGAGCCTCCTGGGCAGGCGGAGATCCTGGCGTGGCTTTATCTAATGGGATGAACCGGCTAAGGAGATTAGCAGGCTGCCTGCGGGTCCCCCTTCTCATCTGCACCTTCAGGCTGTCCCTGGCTGGCTGGGAAGGAGCAGCTGCAGGAACGGCCGGAGGCCTGGCCCCTGCATGAGCTGGGACTGAGCTGAGGGGCCCGGGCCAGGGGCCGGCACCATGGGCAGCCCCCGGAGCGGCGCCCTCCCGGAGGCCCGGCGTCTCCGGCCCTGGGCTCGCTGAGGCCACGGAGGAGCTGGGCGTGGAGGCTGCCAGGACCGCGCCCTGCGCCATGGCGCTGCTCAAGGTCCGATTTGACCAGAAGAGGCGGGTCAAGCTGGCCCAGGGGCTCTGGCTCCTGAACTGGCTCTCGGTGCTGGCCGGCACGGCCGTCTTCGGCCTGGGGCTGTTCCTGAAGGTCGAGCTGCGGAGGAGGAGCGACGTGATGGACAACGCGGAGAGCCACCTGGTGCCCAACGCCCTGATCGGGGCGGGGGCGCTGTCCTGCGCCCTCCATGCGCTGGCCGGCAGGATCTGCTACGACGCCCTGGACCCGGCCAGGTTCGCCCGCTGGCGGCCCTGGCTGCGGCCCTACCTGGCGGCCTGCGCCCTGGGCCACGCGGGGCTCCTGCTGGCCGCGCTCTGCTGCCTCCTGCTGCGCGGCTCCCTGGAGGCCACGCTGGCCCGGGGGCTCCGGCAGGGCCTGCGCTTCTACCGCGACACCGACACGCCCGGCCGCTGCTTCATGAAGAAGACCATCGACCTGCTGCAGATCGAGTTCCGGTGCTGCGGCAACAACGGCTTCCGGGACTGGTTTGAGATCCAGTGGATCAGCAACCGCTACCTGGACTTCTCCTCCAAAGAAGTCAAAGAGTGAGCCCCCCACCCTGCCCCTTCCTCGCCCAGCCCCGCCCGGGGGAGGGAGCTGACGGCCCGGAGCCCGTGTCCTGTCCGCCCCGTGGGTGGTCACTGTGCTGAACCGCTTTTTAAAAAAAAAATATATTTTATTGATTTTTTTTTTACAGAGAGGAAGAGAGAGGGACAGAGAGTTAGAAACATCGATGAGAGAGAAACATCGACCAGCTGCCTCTTGCACACCCCTTACTGGGGAGGTGCCCGCAACCAAGGTACATGCCCTTGACCGGAATCGAACCTGGGACCTTCCAGTCCGCAGGCCGATGCTCTATCCACTGAGCCAAACCGGTTTCGGCTGGAATGGCTGACTTCCTGACGCGTCGATCCGTAAAGGCCCCACCTAACGTCCGGCTGTGGTGGGAGGAGGTGACGGCTGTGTAAGCCGTGGGACGCGAGTCCCCAGGGAGGACTGTGACGTTCGCAGAGCGCATTCCCGAGATGCTGACCAGCTTGTCTCCTGCACTGGGAGGACCTGGGTGCAGTCCCAGAAGCTTGCATTGCCTGGTCCGTTCCCCTCCTCCAGCCTTTGGGGCCAGGGCGCCGCCCTCAGTGTGTCCGTGGGTGCGGAGGGGAGCAGGGGCGGGCAGCCGGGAAGTCGAGGCCGTGGCTTTGGCTCTGCCGTCAGTTAGCCGGGGACCGTGGGTGAGTCACCTGCCCTCTGGGCCCTCGCCTGCCCAGCGGTTAGAGAAAGACACTGGGACAGTCTGTCTAGAGCCCGGCATACAGCAGGTGCTCGTTAAATCTTTCCTTCTTAATCACAGCGGTGTCACACGGTGAATGTGTCTGAAGTATTGTACGTTTATTTTTTTCTTTCTCTACTTGGCAACATTCTACTAATTACTCAAAATCTACTTTAAAAGTCACCTCAATTAGTATTTCCCAAGTCCATGTAAATTAACTCTGTCCTTTTTATTTTCTGAGGACTCATTCATTCACTCATTCACTTAACAAACATCTATTAAGCTCTTGCCAAGTCCCAGCCCTTGTGCTGGAATTCAAAAGTGAACAGGCTATGCCGAGACCGGTTTGGCTCAATGGATAGAGCATCGGCTTGGGGACTGAAGGGTCCCGGGTTCGATTCTAGTCAAGGGCATGTACCTTGGTTGCGGGCATATCCCCAGTGGGGGGTGTGCAAGAGGCAGCTGATCCATGACTCTCTCTCATCGATGTTTCTAACTCTCTATCTCTCTCCCTTCCTCTCTGTACAAAATCAGTAAAATATCTATTTTTTTAAAAAAGTGAACAGGCTATAATCTAGTCATCAAATAATAACTCATTCCTTAAGGAGCCATAATGCAGTGTGGTAACCTCCAATGTCAGACACACGTGCTAGCAACCTCACCCCTTTACAATCTGTGAGGTTCATCAGACTTTCCCCGGGTACCTGGTGTGTCTGGAGTATTGTGTGTGCAGCTATAACAGCCCAGGTGGGAAGTGGGGAGGTGCTGGTGGGAGAGAGAGTCTCGCCCTGGAGCTGCAGTCCCCAGGCGGCGACGCCAGCACACGCTCCCCCGGTGCCCCCGCCGCCCGGGGGCTCCAGCCCTTCCCTGGGGAGAGAGAGGCCTCTGAGCCTCTCCTGCTCCTGCCCAGATGCCTCCTCCCGGAGGCTGCACCTCAGTGGGAGGGTGGTCAGGCTGAAGATCATCGTTGGGATTCTATTTTCTCCGAGGCCGGGGATTACTGCTGCAAATCCCCGCCAAGGAGGGGCTGTGACTGCGCCGCCCTGCCCAGGTGACAGGTCTGCAGGGACCGCGGAGGCATGGTCTCTGGGTGCCCGGGAGGGTGTGCAGCCCGAGGGAGGAGCAGAGTTCCTGGGTGGGGTGGGGAGGGGCCAGGGGAGGGGGAGAGGGCTTTTGCTGTAGAACCAGCTCTTGTGAGCTTTTGTACCCTGCCTTTCCCGTCATTTCCCGTGACTGCCGTCGGCACAGAGCCAGTCCTTGGAGAGACTTAAAAATCTCCCTGTAATCCCAAATCCCCTCTGTCCCAGAGCGGAGGCACCCGCCAGGCTGTTCCATTTTCAGGCAAACATTAAGCTCAATGCTCCACACCAACCAACTTGTTTAGATTTTTTAAAAAGTGTCTGACACAAAAAAAATCAGGCGACAACATTAAGAGAAACAAAAGCAGAAAAAGAAATTCAAGTTGGATTCTCAGTCACAGCTAAACCTCACTCACTTTAGTTTTTTCACTTTTCACCCTAGCCTAGTTAACATCCACGTGATGACACAGTGCAACCACGCCATAAAGACAACTGAGAGCCCATTTTTGCAATTTGATAGCATAACCTTTGCTTAATGTTGAAAACGATCACTTCCTCTCGGCATCACTGCGACATGATGAACAAACACAATGAACAAATAGCACTGTGAAAGGTGGAGGCGCACACGTGTCGGTTTGATACATCCATAGATTGCAGAATGATCGCCACCACAGCCTCCGCTGACCCCCTCGGTATGTGACATCATCACAATTTCTCTGCTGCAGGGAGGATACTTAAGATCTACTCTCTTGAGCAACTTCTTATTTTTTTTTGCAACTTTCGAGGATGTAAGATAGTGTTGTTCAGTGTAGTCATTACGTGTACGTTAGATCCCCAGAACATTCCATCTTATAACTGGACGTCTGTGCCCTTGGACCGATAGCGTCTCTGGCAACCTTTAATCTAGGGCGTTTCTATGCGTTCTGGTTTCCAGCCTCCACGTATATGTGATATCAGACAGTATCTGTCTAAAAACGATTATGATCACTGATTGTGCAATAGTCCACTGGACAATGGATACAATTATGTGGTCATTCCGGTTGTCTTTATTTATTTCTATTATAACTAACGCCGGAATGGGCATCTTTGAGGCTCCCCCCTCTCTCTCTCCTCTCTCTCCTTCGTCCCCCGCCCCACTCCTCTTTTAGGCTGCATTTCTAGAACTGGATCTGTAGAACGGAAATCCTTTCTCCTTTCCAACCCCCCCCATGACGTCACACCGTGTTGCCAAGGGAACAGCCTGAGAGGTTCCCTTGACAGAGAGGCTACATCATCATTCCCCACAAAGTTTTAAATCAGCGCTCAGTGGTGTCTGTGAGGGAGGTGAGGCTCCTGCCGGCTGTGACCAGAAGCTCTGTGGGGGTGGACTGCCTGAGGGCCTGGGCTAGCCGTTGATGGAAAGAACGAACAAAGGAATGAAGGAGAGAACTTGAGTGGCACTTCTCTCTCCCCTCCTCCCCCCCACATTTCTTCCCGTTCGCATTCTGATTGCTCACTCAGAGAGATTATTACGTTTCCCTGACAAAGCTGATCAGTGCCTGTGTTTTTTGAGACGGCGAAGCCCCGAGATGTGGTAACAGCCGCCGTCCCCGGCTTTTCTCAGCAGCATCCCCGGGGCTGGGATTCTGAGGCCACAGAGGCCAGGAGAAGGAAGGTCTCCGGAGGAGGGTTTGTAGTTCGCGACCAGCGCTTCCATCTTCAGCTTTCACACAGAAAACCCACCATCCCACACGCAGAGGTTCAACGCACCCCCTGTGCCACCACCCCGCTTCCACAAACACTGCCTTTCCAGTTTCACTAACACAAATCCTGGGCATCATCTCCCTTCACCTGCTAATGCTTTAGGAGGGATTGCATAAGGAGATGTTTGTTCTTTGTTTGTTCTGTTTTGTTGTTTAACATAAGTACAAGTACTCACCGCAACAAAATTAGCATTAATATCATCTAATACCCAGACTGCTCAATATTCTGATCGTCTCAAAATGTCCTCTCCGGCTGGTTTGTTCAAATCAGGATCCAAGCCGAGCCCACACTCTGCACCTGGGTGCTTCTGAGTCTCTTCTCCTCCATCACAGTTATCTTTTCCTGAAAACCAACCAACCAACCAACCAACCAACCAAAAAACGTCTGTATTGATTTTAGAGAGACAGGAAGGAAGAAACATCCATGTGCCAGAGAAACGTGGACGGGTTGCCTCCTTGCAGGGACCCCACCTGGGATTGAACCCACAACCGGGGTGCGTGCCCCGGCCGGGAATTGAACTGATGACCTTTTGGTGCAACGGGTGACGCTCAATCAAATGAGCCACTGGGGCCAGGGCGACAGTTACCGCTCATGCCATGGGTGTCTGGGAGAAAGGGCCGTGTGTCCTGCAGAATTCCCCTCACTCCGGGTCAGGCGGCCGCAGCCTCACTGTCTCCTGGATCCGCCCGCCCCCGGGACCGGCTCCGGGCGCAGGTGCCACCGGACTGAGGGGTTGAGAGGGTGCTGCTCTGGGCATCTGACTGCATCACACCAGGAGGGCCGTGAGGTCCCGGCCTGTCTGTAACAATCCCCTGGTGGCTTCCTGTTCTCAGGATGAGCAGAGCTTCCCTGTCTGGGGTGAGAGGCAGACAGGAAGGAGCGCAGAGGGCGCCCAGGCGCTGAGAGGTGGGAGGCCTGGCCTGGCTCTCACAAGGGGCGGAGTGAGCACCAAACCCTCACGTCACTGTCCGCAAGGGGACCCGCTGGCTGTAGGCATTTGTTCCTGTTCCTGCACAATTTATAGACATCTTAGACCGTCTACACATTGGCTAGAAGCTCCCTGAGGACAGGGCCGTGTCCCCTCAGACTGGGGCTCCCTGAGGACAGGGCCGTGTCCCCCTCAGACTGGGGCTCCCTGAGGACAGGGCTGTGTCCCCTCAGACTGGGGCTCCCTGAGGACAGGGCTGTGTCCCCTCAGACTGGGGCTCCCTGAGGACAAGGCCGTGTCCCCTCAGACTGGGGCTCCCTGAGGACAGGGCCGTGTCCCCTCAGACTGGGGCTCCCTGAGGACAGGGCTGTGTCCCCCTCAGACTGGGGCTCCCTGAGGACAGGGCCGTGTCCCCTCAGACTGGGGCTCCCTGAGGACAGGGCTGTGTCCCCTTCAGACTGGGGCTCCCTGAGGCCAGGGCTGTGTCCCCTCAGACTGGGGCTCCCTGAGGACAGGGCTGTGTCCCCC